CTCCAAAACTCCTATTTTCCGTCACCGCCTAGCCGTTCGTCAACTGGACTAGCTATCACCTGTGGTGATAGCCGCCAGTTAAGGACATCGGCTCGGTTTGGCTCCTGTTGGCTTTTCTTTCCCGCCCTCTTTTTCCATTTTACATCGAGCCAACCGTGCAACGGGTCACGATTACGCAATTAAGTTTACAACCGACATAAAATTAGAAATCCAGGACCCAACATCCTAACAAAAAAACATTTCAAATAAATAAATCACAAAATACAAGCTTACTACTCTATCACAGAAATTATCACAGATTTTCTTCAGTGCATCCCGTGATGCAAATCTTGGTTTGCTCCAAGATGCCATCACCGGTTCACTGGCAAACCTGTGGCCAGGAGCAAATCGTCGGCAATGTCGCCGACCAGCCTCCCGTTCTACTTCCAACTTCCCTACACAGCTGACTTCCCCGTCACCACTCCCTAGCAATTGCAATCTATGTTGCAAGCCATTGGTCGTGATGGCGGCGGCGTCAGGGTCATAAATGGGCGAGACGTCGTCGCCTCGACAATTTATTTTGTTTAAATTGGGCGCCAATATGTTACGAACTGCTTTTTTTGGTGGCAGTGCCGCTAGCTCAGTCTTTTCTCAAGGCAGAGTACCCCTAATGCCACAGCTCGCAACATAAATATCGATAACTTCACGGTCTCACATTACTAATCGGTTATCACCAATGACAAAAAAAACGTAATCAAAGCAAAAATCTACAAATATTGACGGGAAAATGGATTACATTTGGTGGCTATCGGTGACCTAGCCAAGCGCTCCCACCCAACCATGGGTGCCCTCGAGGCGCTGCAGGGCACCACCCATTCTCTGTCGGCAGGAGCCCCCTCCTCGCGACTACGACGGTTCCATCTCCCCCACTGGGAAAGCTTACTCACACATTGTGGGTATTACAAAGGTTTAATAAATATCGTAAGTACAATTGTTTATATACATGCTCCTCTTAACAGATCTATCCTTCCTCAGCCTTTAAGACCTAAACCTGGCCGCCGTCTCGGATATTTACGCGGTCAAAGCAGAGGATTTGTTTTGGCTGGAAAAGCGTACAGGCGCCGCGGAAACTATGCTCTACCAGTCATGTATTGGTAGAGCTCGCATGGAAACGCGGCCCTCAAAGGAACATGCGCGATGCGCGTGTGTATGGTCACCTAATTCTGAGGAGCTCAAGGGGAAAAGAAGGGACAGGCCAAAAAGGTACGTAACTGCACTGTAACTAATGCTCGCGACCTTTTTAATTTTAGGCAAACAACGAGGACAAATAAGGCTCTCGAGTCTAACTCCGGATAAATTCACAAACAGGGAAGTAAATATCAATATATATAATCAAGGTACACGTGTATTCAAATTTTCCTAAATTTCAGCCACTGTTGGGCCGGGCCTGGAGGCGATGATAGCCCGGGCTGATGACTTCCAGCCGGAGGCCAGCAGCGATACAGGTCTCCAGGAAAGAAAACTGGCGCTCTCCGGTGAGTTATGCAAGGGCAGTCTGAGGTTCGGCCGCCCGACAAAATGGCGGTACCTCTCAACGCCGCGATGCGACGGCTGGAAGTCCCCGAGATGAGGTGGACGCGGTACACCGGAACGGACTCACCGGGAAATGTTTGATGTCGTCGGCGTCGACTGCGAAGACTGCTTTTCTGGGTGGTCGTCGGTACGGGTCGAACGGCCACCGGTTGCTGGGCAGCCAAGTCGGGCTGGTAGGTATGGCGAAGTCGCGCAAATGTCAGTAGAACTCCAAATAAATATTCCGGGGCCCTTTGTGTTGGGACCCCGGCTGCCTTTATAAATGATAAATATTAAATACCGAACTACTGTATAACTTTAACATAACTCACTATTTAATTTTAAGCACAAAGAAAATTTATAGGATCACTTCTAGCTGCATCTGCCTTGGTTGTTGGACAGTATGGCCGCGACTATCTCGATATCTGCTGATCATCGTTCATAACCCCCGCCATATTACATGGCCTCTCTCAAAATTGGGTCATTGGATACATGGGTCCATTTAAAGTAATCCCAAAGCGAACCGGGATTAATCTTCAAATGGCCAGATCGCCCGCCAGACTCATCCCGCTGCTGCAGCTATCGCCCTATCGACGTAACCTATCGATAACGTCGCTCCCATTTGACTCCAACTGCAACATTAACCAAAGATTTCGAGAGTCGCTGCCTGGAGTTTCAGCAGAACGATGAAAATAAATGGTAGCTTTGGAGATACGATGGGACTCAACACGGCACTGATACCATCCTGCAGTTCGATCGGCGCCTAACGCGGGGCCCACGCATGACGGGAAGTATTGCAGATGTGATCGCGATGCTCGTATACTTTAATTTCTCCTTTCAGGTCACAACCAGACTGCGGCCTTGGAGGTCCAAGTATGCATTGCTACCGACGGATTTAACCACCCTGGCTTTAATGAACTTGCGAGCAGACTTGGCACAAAGTTGCGGCGGAAGACTTCTTGGCCTGGCTTGGCGAGCAGCGTACGGGCTCGCTTATCGTAGCGTTGCCGGCTTGTCTGGTATGCACCCTCCAGTTGCTTCTGCACCTTGGCGTGGATAACCCGAAGCTTGTCCTTGGTCTGCATTCCGGCCATTTCATGGTCGACCAGAGACCTGAGTCGTCTGGCTAGTTTGTAGCTGGAACCGTTGAGGAACATGTGATGGCCGAATACGGTGAAGAACGGCGCATCTCCTGTGGCTGAGTGGAAAGTGTTTTGGATGATCTTCGTCCAAGAAGCTGCGAATTGCGGCCAAGACGTTCCGGTTTACCCTTTCCGCGGCATTGCTCTGTGGTGAGTATACGGGAGTCCTCATGTGCTGTATACCGAAGCCATCGATCATCTCCTCAAACGCCTTGGATACGAACTGTTTGCCGTTGTCAGAATGTATCGTCTCAGGCACCCCGAACTTGTAAAATACCTCGTTTACCAGGAAATTTACAACGCGGGAGAAGTGGTACACCACGATGAATATCCAGGCGTGTCGGATACTTGCCCAGGAAATCGATGTACAGTTTCTGGAATGGCCTCCCCGTCTCTACCCTTCTTCCGATTCCGACCTGCATCCGGAAGTTTGGCGCTTTGGATTCCTTGCACACCTCGCGACCCCGGACGTATTCCCGTACCTGGATAGTCATCCCTGGCCAATAGAACTGGGGACGCAGATTCCGTTGGATCTATCCGGACTTCCTCGATGATGCGGGATAGAGTGTCAGCGACTACGTTCTCGCTGCCTTTGCGATGTTCAATGTTGAAATCGTAGCCCTGCAGCTGGAGAGACCACCTTGCGAGTCGTCTGGACAGATCCTTCATTGTCATCAACCACTTAAGGCTGGCGTGATCAGTAATGCATGTGAAGGGCATCCCTTCCACATACGGTCTGAACTTCCAAATGGCTAGGATGGCCGCCAGACACTCCTTTTCCGTAACCGAGTAATTCACCTGGTGTTTGTTCATCTTGGCCGAGAAGAACGCGATGGGCTGCTCGTCTCCGTTCTGGTTCCGCTGAAACAATACCGCGCCGACGCCAACGTGGGATGCGTCGCACTGGATGTAGAAATGCTTCTTGAAATCCGCATGAACCAGGACCGGCGCGCTCGTCAAGGCCAACTTCAGGTCATCCACTGCCTGGGTGGCGCTGGGACTTAAGGAAAACTTTGTGTTTCCAGCCTTCTTCAAGGACTCGGAGAGTGCTGCGGCTAGCGTAGCGAAGTTCTTGTCGAACCGTCGATACCATCCCGCTGTGCCGAGGAAGGCACGGGTAAGGCATCTTCTGGATTGCCGAAACACGTCCAGGATCCATCCGCAGCAGTCCACCTCCGACTATAAACCCTAGCTAAGTCAAAGATTTGAAACAAAACTTCGACTTCTTTAACCCTATGGTCAATCCGGCTGATTTCAGACTGTGGGCTACTCGACGCAAGTATTTCAAGTGCGTCTGAAAATCTGGAGCGTTAGATCTGAGCTCCGCTGGTATCACCCGATCCATGAGCCGCACCAAGCGTTGTGCCGCGTTGCACAGCCCGAATGGCCGTGAACGCAGTATACTCCTTGCTTCTCTCATCCAGTTCAATCTGCCAAAACGCAAGCTTCAGGTCTACGCTGGAGATGTAGTGCGTCTGATCTATCCTGGAGAGGATTCCTTCTATACTGGGCAGAGGGTACGCATCCTTAATAGTCGAGGCGTTCAACTTCGGGCATCCACGCAGAACCGGTCTTTCCCTGGCTTCGACACCTCTGTTGTGCGATTGCTCCACGGGCTTTTGCTCTCCTCGATAACACCCAGCTCCAACATCTTGTCGATTTCGTCTTCGACCACCTTCTGCTTCACCGGAGACATCGAATACGGACGATCCTTAAAGACACGAGCTCCTTCCGTCAGCTCAATAGAATGCCTCTTCATGCTGGTGACTTCGAGGCCGTCCCTTTAAAAGGTAAGGAACTCCTCCTTGACCTTGCCTAACGCCAGCTTTTCCTCCGCAGAAAGGGTCCAGGATTCGGGTTCCTCCCTTACCTCGTCTTCATCTTCCTGGTCGGCATAGTGCTCCATCTGGCTGGCATGGATTACCTGCGCTGCCTTGACGCCTCTCGTTGCCGGCTTCCCCACGTCGGCTGGAGCTAATCCGAAGGTCGCCAGAAGTCGACCCCGAAGTACGCAGTTTGGTCCAGGTATGGACACAGGTAGAACGTGACTGGCTTTGTACCTCCCAGGCAGCTCCAAGCGTCCGATGATGGATCGATCCTCACCAGAAGCTGTCCGGACTACCGAAAAATACGGTTGGACGGTATCTTCTAGCGTTTCCACGAGCTCTCGACAGCCTTTGGCGAAGGGTCTAGGATCGGCGGAATCTATGTGTTTAACGGCCGCCACCACCTCTCGTCGTCTGGATCTCCTCATCCTGAAGCACTCCCTTGCCTTCTGGACTCTCCGTGAGACCAGACGCATGCCGCTCAGCTGATGCTCCGCAAAGATCCGGTTCCGTGCCTCCATATAACGGCGAAGCCTCTCATCCTCCGCCAGGTATCTTAACAAATACTTTTGACTATCAGATGGACTATGTACATTCTTTTCTTCTTCTTTCTTCGGAACTACTTCGCGGGATTCCAACCTGGGCGAGTCCCTCCCGCTTTTGGACTACCCAGCCGACCGTTTTCCGCGCAATCGGGACATTTCGGAGAAATCACGCCCAGCTTGCCGCATCGTTGGCCATCGTCCTCGCCGCCGAAGGAGAGGTTCCAGCGGTCCACTCGGATCTAGCGGTTTCCGTTGCCGGCTCCCGCGTTGGCGTACAACCGCGGCTCGTCACGAAAATCCGCCGCCCTTCGGTCCTCGATGCGCCACGGCCGTGCGTGGCGATCACTCCTTCCTGCCGGATGATACTCCGGTTCCTGGCTCAGGCTGCTGTCGATCCTTGGAGAGTCGTTCACCTGCGGTCGAGGTCGCTGCCTGGGATTCAATTCCGGCGGCCTTCGGTAGCCTCCTCCTGTCTCCTGCCGCTGCTGGACCATTTGCGGCGCCTTCCGGGCACGACGGAGTGGGCACCATTGACACTTGGCGAATCGCGCCCTCCTGGAGCGGCTGCGGTTTGCTTTCGGCTGTCCTAAGAACATCGTTCTTCAATTTCATCATGTCCATGAATCCGTTCTTGATTTTCTCCCGCAAGGCCTGGCTCACTCCCAACTCTTGCGATGCCCGATATGTATGGGCCGCTTGTGCCAGAGCTGCGTTCATCGCAGACTCCGCCGCTGTATCCGTGTTCCGTGTTCAGCTTTTGTAGTCCCGTCTGCTCCGGAACCAGAAGTCGATCCTGCGCCTCGACATTTGCCTTGAAATCCAGGACCCTGGGCGACCGATGGTGCTCCAGATCCGCCGGTTGATCCCTAATCCGATCCACCGCACTACCGGCTACCGGCGTTCTGGGTAAACCCCCAGACAGCGATATCCGCGGCAACCCAGCAGCACCCTCTACATCCGTGGACCAGACATCGTCCTTGTCGTCGCCAGGGGGACCCATCGACCTGAGCTGGTGGCCGTGCCTATCGCTGACGTCCCTACCCTCGGACATACTTCCCAAGAATTTTTAAATAAATACTTAATGACTACTAATACTATAATAAATATGATAAATAAATAAATAAATAAGACAACAAATAAATACAAAAATAAATAATATAATAAATATCAAAATAAATACGAAAATAACTAATAGCAAAAATCAATAACAATGAACAAATCTTCCTCCCTTCCTATTTTCTTTTCTTTTCCTTACAGCTGGACCTGGGCAGATGGAAGTGACCGTCGCCGGTGGGCTTCCGACCTAACTCGTCTTGCGCTTTCTCCAAAACTCCTATTTTCCGTCACCGCCTAGCCGTTCGTCAACTGGACTAGCTATCACCTGTGGTGATAGCCGCCAGTTAAGGACATCGGCTCGGTTTGGCTCCTGTTGGCTTTTCTTTCCCGCCCTCTTTTTCTATTTTACATCGAGCCAACCGTGCAACGGGTCACGATTACGCAATTAAGTTTACAACCGACATAAAATTAGAAATCCAGGACCCAACATCCTAACAAAAAAACATTTCAAATAAATAAATCACAAAATACAAGCTTACTACTCTATCACAGAAATTATCACAGATTTTCTTCAGTGCATCCCGTGATGCAAATCTTGGTTTGCTCCAAGATGCCATCACCGGTTCACTGGTAAACCTGTGGCCAGGAGCAAATCGTCGGCAATGTCGCCGACCAGCCTCCCGTTCTACTTCCAACTTCCCTACACAGCTGACTTCCCCGTCACCACTCCCTAGCAATTGCAATCTATGTTGCAAGCCATAGGTCGTGATGGCGGCGGCGTCAGGGTCATAAATGGGCGAGACGTCGTCGCCTCGACAATTTATTTTGTTTAAATTGGGCGCCAATATGTTACGAACTGCTTTTTTTTGGTGGCAGTGCCGCTAGTTCAGTCTTTTCTCAAGGCAGAGTACCCCTAATGCCACAGCTCGCAACATAAATATCGATAACTTCACGGTCTCACATTACTAATCGGTTATCACTAATGACAAAAAAAACGTAATCAAAGCAAAAATCTACAAATATTGACGGGAAAATGGATTACATTTGGTGGCTATCGGTGACCTAGCCAAGCGCTCCCACCCAACCATGGGTGCCCTCGAGGCGCTGCAGGGCACCACCCATTCTCTGTCGGCAGGAGCCCCCTCCTCGCGACTACGACGGTTCCATCTCCCCCACTGGGAAAGCTTACTCACACATTGTGGGTATTACAAAGGTTTAATAAATATCGTAAGTACAATTGTTTATATACATGCTCCTCTTAACAGATCTATCCTTCCTCAGCCTTTAAGACCTAAACCTGGCCGCCGTCTCGGGTATTTACGCGGTCAAAGCAGAGGATTTGTTTTGGCTGGAAAAGCGTACAGGCGCCGCGGAAACTATGCTCTACCAGTCATGTATTGGTAGAGCTCGCATGGAAACGCGGCCCTCAAAGGAACATGCGCGATGCGCGTGTGTATGGTCACCTAATTCTGAGGAGCTCAAGGGGAAAAGAAGGGACAGGCCAAAAAGGTACGTAACTGCACTGTAACTAATGCTCGCGACCTTTTAAATTTTAGGCAAACAACGAGGACAAATAAGGCTCTCGAGTCTAACTCCGGATAAATTCACAAACAGGGAAGTAAATATCAATATATATAATCAAGGTACACGTGTATTCAAATTTTCCTAAATTTCAGCCACTGTTGGGCCGGGCCTGGAGGCGATGATAGCCCGGGCTGATGACTTCCAGCCGGAGGCCAGCAGCGATACAGGTCTCCAGGAAAGAAAACTGGCGCTCTCCGGTGAGTTATGCAAGGGCAGTCTGAGGTTCGGCCGCCCGACAAAATGGCGGTACCTCTCAACGCCGCGATGCGACGGCTGGAAGTCCCCGAGATGAGGTGGACGCGGTACACCGGAACGGACTCACCGGGAAATGTTTGATGTCGTCGGCGTCGACTGCGAAGACTGCTTTTCTGGGTGGTCGTCGGTACGGGTCGAACGGCCACCGGTTGCTGGGCAGCCAAGTCGGGCTGGTCGGTATGGCGAAGTCGCGCAAATGTCAGTAGAACTCCAAATAAATATTCCGGGGCCCTTTGTGTTGGGACCCCGGCTGCCTTTATAAATGATAAATATTAAATACCGAACTACTGTATAACTTTAACATAACTCACTATTTAATTTTAAGCACAAAGAAAATTTATAGTATCACTTCTAGCTGCATCTGCCTTGGTACCGTATGCCGCGACTATCTCGATATTGGGTCATTGGATACATGGGTCCATTTAAAGTAGTCCCAAAGCGAACCGGGATTAATTTTCAAATGGCCAGATCGCCCGCCAGACTCATCCCGTTGCTGCAGCTATCGCCCTATCGACCTAACCTATCGATAACGTCGCTCCCATTCGACTCCAATTGCAACATCAACCAAAGATTTTGAGAGGCGCTGCCCGGAGTTTCAGCAGAACGATGAAATAATTGGTAGCTTTGGAGATACGATGGGATTCAACACGGCACTGATACCATCCTGCAGTTCGATCGGCGCCTTACGCGGGGCCCACGCATGACGGGAAGTATTGCAGATGTGATCGCGATGCTCGTATACTTTGTTTTGTCCTTCTTTCAGGTCACAACCGGATGTCTTTGGCATGATACACTCCCAGACTGCGGCCTTGGAGGTCCTCCAGAAAATATGCATTGCTACCGACGGATTTGACCACCCTGGCTTTAAGGAAATTGCAAGCAAACTTGGCGTTAAAAGATTTGCTTAAATCACTCAGCTCGAAGTTGCGGCGGAAGACTTCTTGGCCTGGCCTGGCGAGCAGCGTACGGGCTCGCTTATCGTAGCGCTGCAGGCTCGTCTGGTATGCACCCTCCAGTTGCTTCTGCACCTTCGCGTGGATAACCCGAAGCTTGTCCTTGGTCTGCATTCCGGCCATTTCATGATCGACCAGAGACCTGAGTCGTCTGGCTAGTTTGTAGCTGGAACCGTTGAGGAACATGTGATGGCCGAATACGGTGAAGAACGGCGCTTCCCCTGTGGCTGAGTGGACAGTGTTTCGGATGGCCACCTCAATCTCCGGCAAATGTGCATCCCATTCCCGGTGATCTTCGTCCAAGAAGCTGCGAATTGCGGCCAAGACGTTCCGGTTTACCCTCTCCGCGGCAATGCTCTGTGGTGAGTATACGGGAGTCCTCATGTGCTGTATACCGAAGCCATCGATCACCTCCTCAAACGCCTTGGATACGAACTGTTTGCCGTTGTCAGAATGTATCGTCTCAGGCACCCCGAACTTGTAAAATACCTCGTTTACCAGGAAATTTACAACGTTCGACGCCGTCGCCTCCTTCATTGCCTTTAAGAAGGTGTACTTGGAGAAGTGGTTCACCACGATGAATATCCAGGCGTGTCCACTCTTGGACCTCGGATACTTGCCCAGGAAATCGATGTACAGTTTCTGGAATGGCCTCTCCGTCTCTACCCTTCTTCCGATTCCGACCTGCACCCGGAAGTTTGGCGCTTTGGATTCCTTGCACACCTCGCGACCCCGGACGTATTCCCGTACCTGGATAGTCATCCCTGGCCAATAGAACTGGCGTCGCAGGATCTCCAAGGTCTTCGTCATCCCACCATGGCTAGCCTTGGGGTCCGAATGAGCACGCTCTATCAAGCTGTGAGTCAAGCTTTGCGGGATCCACAGCTTCCATTCGGATCCTTCCAATTCCTCGGCCATTTTTGGGTTACTCATGCGCTTGAAGATGAGTCCGCCGTCCACCTTGACGTCCGGTAAGTGCTCCCTGTTGGACTTCACGTCTTGCACTAATTCCGTGTAGTCCTCCGCAGCAAATTCAGTCGTCTCGAACCCCAGTAACTCCGTTGGATCTATCCGGACTTCCTCGATGATGCGGGATAGAATGTCGGCGACTACGTTCTCGCTGCCTTTGCGATGTTCAATGTTGAAATCGTAGCCCTGCAGCTGGAGAGACAACCTTGCGAGTCGTCCGGACAGATCCTTCATTGTCATCAACCACTTAAGGCTGGCGTGATCAGTAATGCACGTGAAGGGCATCCCTTCCACATACGGTCTGAACTTCCGAATGGCTAGGATGGCCGCCAGACACTCCTTTTCCGTAACCGAGTAATTCATTTGGTGTTTGTTCATCTTGGCCGAGAAGAACGCGATGGGCTGCTTGTCTCCGTTCTGGTCCCGCTGAAACAATACCGCGACGACGCCAACGTGTGATGCGTCGCACTGGATGTGGAAATGCTTCTTGAAATCCGCATGAACCAGGACCGGCGCGCTCGTCAAGGCCAACTTCAGGTCATCCACTGCCTGGGTGGCGCTGGGACTTGAGGAAAACTTTGTGTTTCCAGCCTTCTTCAAGGACTCGGAGATTGGTGCGGCTAGCGTAGCGAAGTTCTTGATGAACCGTCGATACCATCCCGCTGTGCCGAGGAAGGCACGGGTAAGGCATCTTCTGGATTGCCGAAACACGTCCAGGATCCATCCGCAGCAGTCCACCTCAGACTATAAACCCTAGTTAAGTCAAAGATTTAAAACAAGACTTCGAGTTCTTTAACCCTATGGTCAATCCGGCTGATTTCAGACTGTGGGCTACTCGACGCAAGTATTTCAAGTGCGTCTGAAAATCTGGAGCGTTAGATCTGAGCTCCGCTGGTATCACCCGATCCATGAGCCGCACCAAGCGTTGTGCCGCGTTGCACATTCCGAATGGCCGTGAACGCAGTATACTCCTTGCTTCTCTCATCCGGTTCAATCTGCCAAAACGCAAGCTTCAGGTCTACGCTGGAGATGTAGTGCGTCTGATCTATCCTGGAGAGGATTCCTTCTATACTGGGCAGAGGGTACGCATCCTTAATAGTCGAGGCGTTCAACTTCGGGCATCCAGGCAGAACCGGTCTTTCCCTGGCTTCGACACCACTGTTGTGCGATTGCTCCACGGGCTTTTGCTCTCCTCGATAACACCCAGCTCCAACATCTTGTCGATTTCGTCTTCGACCACATTCTGCTTCATCGGTCTCGATCCTTAAAGACACGAGCTCCTTCCATCAGCTCAATAGAATGCCTCTTCATGCTGGTGACTCCGAGGCCGTCCCTTTCAAAGGTAAGGAACTCCTCCTTGACCTTGCCTAACGCCAGCTTTTCCTCCGCAGAAAAGGTCCAGGATTCGGGTTCCTCCCTTACCTCGTCCTCATCTTCCTGGTCGGCATAGTGCTCCATCTGGCTGGCATGGATTACCTCCGCTGCCTTGACGCCTCTCGTCGCCGGCTTCCCCACGACGGCTGGAGCTAGTCCGAAGGTCGCCAGAAGTCGACCCCGAAGTACGCAGTTTGTTCCAGGTATGGACACAGGTAGAACGTGACCGGCTTTGTACCTCTATGGATCGATCCTCGCCAGAAGCTGTCCAGACTACCGAAAAATACGGTTGGACGGTAACTCCCAGCGTTTCCACGAGCTCTCGACAGCCTTTGCCCAGCACACTTACGCTGGCGCCTGTGTCCAACAAGCCGGTGAGCTGCTTGCCCAAGGTCTCCACGTCGGCGAAGGGTCTAGGATCGGCGGAATCTATGCGTTTAACGGCCGCCACCACCTCTCGTCGTCTGGATCTCCTCATCTCTCCGTGAGACAAGACGCATGCCGCTCAGCTGATGCTCCGCAAAGATCCGGTTCCTTGCCTCCATATAACGGCGAAGCCTCTCATCCTCCGCCAGGTATCTTAACAAATACTTATGACTATCAGATGGACTATGTACATTCTTTTCTTCTTCTTCTTTCTTCGGAACTACTTCGCGGGATTCCAACCTGGGCGAGTCACTCCCGCTTTCGGACTGCCCAGCCGACCATTTCCGTGCAATCGGGACATTTCGGAGAAATCACGCCCAGCTTGCCGCACCGGAAACAAAACCTCCTCCACTCCGTAGCCTCGCAATCCTGGAATCCGTGCTCCGCAGCCCCGCGATTCCAGAAACCTGGCCTGAATGGATTTCGGACTCGCCCAAGTAGCTCGTCCATTTCCAGGTTTCGCTGCTCGTCGACTTCGTCCTGTACGTGCGCCTCGCTGACCCGTAACTTGCTCTGCTGCAAGTAAGCCGCACGCCCTCGACGACCGAAGCTCCTCTTTACTTCGACGCACTCTTCGCGAAGTTCGTCCACCATGAGTACGTCCATCGCGTAAACGTACCTAGCGATGCCGTCCCTCAAGCCCTTTTACACCACCTTCACCAACTGCCGCTCTGGCATTGCATCGCATGGATGTAGTCATCCGCGCTCTCTCCCGGCTGTTGCTCACATTGTAGAAGCTCGTGCATCCTTTCGTGTTCCGTCTGGTGACCACGGAACCGATCCATCAGAGCCCTGCGCAGCTGGGCCAAAGTGTCCACTCTGGACTGGCGTACGTGTACCCAGTACCACTCCTTCGCTCTGCCTGATAGGAGTACGTGGAAGTTGCGCAGAACTTCACTCCACGGACACTGATGCTGCCGCTGCAGGAACTCCAGACGGAACACGAAGTCGTCCACGGAATGGCCATCGTCCTCGCCGCCGAAGGAGAGGTTCCAGCGGTCCACTCGGATCTAGTGGTTTCCGTTGCCGGCTCCGGCGTTGGCGTACAACCGCGGCTCGTCACGAAAATTCGCCGCCCTTCGGTCCTCGATGCGCCACGGCCGTGCGTGGCGATCACTCCTTCCTGCCGGATGATACTCCGGTTCCTGGCTCAGGCTGCTGTCGATCCCTGGAGAGTCGTTCACCTGCGGTCGAGGTCGCTGCCTGGGTTTCAATTCCGGCGGTCTTCGGTAGCCTCCTCCTGTCTCCTGCCGCTGCTGAACTTCCGCTGGACCATTTGCGCCGCCTTCCGGGCACGACGGAGTGTGCACCATTGACACTTGGCGACTCGCGCCCTCCTGGAGCGGCTGCGGTTTGCTTTCGGCTGTCCTAAGGACATCGTTCAACAACTTCATCATGTCCATGAATCCGTTCTTGATTTCCTCCCGCAACGCCTGGCTCACTTCCAACTCTTGCGATGCCCGATATGTATGGGCCGCTTGTGCCAGAGCTGCGTTCATCGCAGACTCCGCCGCTGTATCCCGTTCCGTGTTCAGCTTTTGTAGTCCCGTCTGCTCCGGAACCAGAAGTCGATCCTGCGCCTCGACAATTGCCTTGAAATCCAGGACCCTGGGCGACCGATGGTGCTCCAGATCCGCCGGTTGATCCCTAATCCTCCGATCCACCGCACTACCGGCTACCGGCGTTCTGGGTAAACCCCCAGACAGCGATATCCGCGGCAACCCAGCAGCACCCTCTACATCCGTGGACCAGACATCGTCCTTGTCGTCGCCAGGGGGACCCATCGACCTGAGCTGGTGGCCGTGCCTATCGCTGACGTCCTTACCCTCGGACATACTTCCCAAGAATTTTTAAATAAATACTTAATGACTACTAATACTATAATAAATATGATAAATAAATAAATAAATAAGACAACAAATAAATACAAAAATAAATAATATAATAAATATCAAAATAAATACGAAAATAACTAATAGCAAAAATCAATAACAATGAACAAATCTTCCTCCCTTCCTATTTTCTTTTCTTTTCCTTACAGCTGGACCTGGGCAGATGGAAGTGACCGTCGCCGGTGGGCTTCCGACCTAACTCGTCTTGCGCTTTCTCCAAAACTCCTATTTTCCGTCACCGCCTAGCCGTTCGTCAACTGGACTAGCTATCACCTGTGGTGATAGCCGCCAGTTAAGGACATCGGCTCGGTTTGGCTCCTGTTGGCTTTTCTTTCCCGCCCTCTTTTTCTATTTTACATCGAGCCAACCGTGCAACGGGTCACGATTACGCAATTTAGTTTACAACCGACATAAAATTAGAAATCCAGGACCCAACATCCTAACAAAAAAACATTTCAAATAAATAAATCACAAAATACAAGCTTACTACTCTATCACAGAAATTATCACAGATTTTCTTCAGTGCATCCCGTGATGCAAATCTTGGTTTGCTCCAAGATGCCATCACCGGTTCACTGGTAAACCTGTGGCCAGGAGCAAATCGTCGGCAATGTCGCCGACCAGCCTCCCGTTCTACTTCCAACTTTCCTACACAGCTGACTTCCCCGTCACCACTCCCTAGCAATTGCAATCTATGTTGCAAGCCATAGGTCGTGATGGCGGGGGCGTCAGGGTCATAAATGGGCGAGACGTCGTCGCCTCGACAATTTATTTTGTTTAAATTGGGCGCCAATATGTTACGAACTGCTTTTTTCGGTGGCAGTGCCGCTAGCTCAGTCTTTCCTCAAGGCAGAGTACCCCTAATGCCACAGCTCGCAACATAAATATCGATAACTTCACGGTCTCACATTACTAATCGGTTATCACTAATGACAAAAAAACGTAATCAAAGCAAAAATCTACAAATATAGACGGGAAAATGGATTACAATTGGTGGCTATCGGTGACCTAGCCAAGCGCTCCCACCCAACCATGGGTGCCCTCGAGGCGCTGCAGGGCACCACCCATTCTCTGTCGGCAGGAGCCCCCTCCTCGCGACTACGACGGTTCCATCTCCCCCACTGGGAAAGCTTACTCACACATTGTGGGTATTACAAAGGTTTAATAAATATCGTAAGTACAATTGTTTATATACATGCTCCTCTTAACAGATCTATCCTTCCTCAGCCTTTAAGACCTGAACCTGGCCGCCGTCTCGGATTTTTACGCGGTCAAAGCAGAGGATTTGTTTTGGCTGGATAAGCGTACAGGCGCCGCGGAAACTATGCTCTACCAGTCATGAATTGGTAGAGCTCGCATGGAAACGCGGCCCTCAAAGGAACATGCGCGATGCGCGTGTGTATGGTCACCTAATTCTGAGGAGCTCCAGGGGAAAAGAAGGGACAGGCCAAAAAGGTACGTAACTGAACTGTAACTAATGCTCGCGACCTTTTTAATTTTAGGCAAACAACGAGGACATATAAGGCTCTCGGGTCTAACTCCGGATAAATTCACAAACAGGGAAGTAAATATCAATATATATAATCAAGGTGCACGTGTATTTAAATTTTCCTAAATTTCAGCCACTGTTGGGCCGGGCCTGGAGGCGATGATAGCCCGGGCTGATGACTTCCCGCCGGAGGCCAGCAGCGAGTCGGAGGTTCGGCCGCGATGCGACGGCTGGAAGTCCCCGAGATGAGGTGGACGCGGTACACCGGAACGGACTCACCGGGAAATGTTTGACGTCGTCGGCGTCGACTGCGAAGACTGCTTTTCTGGGTGGTCGTCGGTACGGGTCGAACGGACACCGGTTGCTGGGCAGCCAAGTCGGGCTGGTAGGTATGGCGAAGTCGCGCAGATGTCAGTAGAACTCCAAATAAATATTCCGGGGCCCTTTGTGTTGGGACCCCGGCTGCCTTTATAAATGATAAATATTAAATGCCGAACTACTATATAACTTTAACATACCTCACTATTTAATTTGAAGCACAAAGAAAATTTATAGTATCACTTCTAGCTGCATCTGCCTTGGTTGTTGGACAGTATGGCCGCAACTATCTCGATATCTGCTGATCATCGTTCATACCCCCCGCCATATTACATGGCCTCTCTCAAAATTGGGTCATTGGATACATGGTTCCATTTAAAGTAATCCCAAAGCGAACCGGGATTAATCTTCAAATGGCCAGATCGCCCGCCAGACTCATCCCGTTGCTACAGCTATCGCCCTATCTACCTAACCTATCGATAACGTCGCTCACATTCGACTCCAATTGCAACAGTTTCACCACTTTCCAAGCCATTCCAATATTTGGGAATACGATCTCGCATCGGCTAGGATGAACGGCTCTTTCGTATCCGTCAGATGGACCCTCAAAGACGCTATTATTTATATGTTCGCGCAAATAAAACAAGACGGGAAGCGTAACTGCAGTCTGCTTTCATTAGAGCGTAACAAGATTTACTCTCTCCTCTCACCGTACAGCCCTTCCAAGCCTTGGTTTAAAAACAAAAAATACGTATTCAACCGTATAGATACGAAGATTCTGAACAGAATCTTAAGCGGACACGCTTTTGATAATTACACACTTTCCAAAATAAAAGTTTACGATAACGCCCTATGCGATTAGTGGAACATTAATAAAGACATTTCGAATATTCTGTTAAATTGCTCAAAGTATACACCAACAAGACAGAATTATCCAACACTACTTAAATATAACGATATTTATCGTTTTCTTGGGATTCTTGGGAATCCAATTAAAAATTGGACATCGATTACCAGTTTCATTCGGGCTGCTAATATTAATATCTAATATAACACACTCCACACTGCTCATTTAATACACTATAACACCATTCACGCTTATACCAACTCACCAAGTCGTAAATTTGAAATTTCTCACACACATCTCTATCATCTTCATCGCTTGTCGTTCATTGTCATCATAACATCACCAGAAACTACTGCACGCTATTTACATAGCCGTCTATTAAATTTTGTTTTTCTTGAAATTTAATTTCGTTGGCGTTAGCCCGTTCCAACAGGGAGGCCAAATAATTCTTCCCACTTCACGGAAAAAAGTAACTTACTACATATAAAAAAAAAATTTTATTCTTTGTAGAGTGACCTAAGTTTTCAAAGTTCACCAGTAATGCATGTAGCATGATCTTACTGTCAGGCAGCTGGGCTTGTTTTGTTGACGAATTTAAAAAGACGAATTTGCTGGTGCACGATGAAATTAAAAAAAAATGGCAAGGTGTTTCGAGGTGAAATTGGACTTGGAATCTCGTCGCGAAAGACAGGTCAGTACCTCAGCAAACCCTTCTCACCGACACCTTCTCTTCCAGGGCTCGTCGTAGGTCGCTAATAGGTCCGCATTTTACTGCTTCAAATCCCTATATTCCTCTTTCCTTCCGAAATTACTCAAAGTGAAGTTCCCCTGTATACATGCTGTCCAAGTGCAAATTGCACATTTCTTGAGCTCCGATTGTACACATTTGCGCTCCTTTCGTATGCCTTTTGTGAATTCGTTCGAATTTCTTCTCGTTGTTTTCTAACGCCTCGCCAGTTGGAAATCTGCTGCGTTTGTGAACATATTTTGCCCAAAGAGAGCGTAATAGGGAGACACTCCGGTAGCCTGGTGGACCGCTCCTCTGAGTGCACACTCAACCTGCGATAGATAAAGATCACAGTCTCGGTGATCATGCTCTAAATAGGCTCGAATCGCATCTAGAGACGAGTAGTCCTCGGATACTTGCCTAGAAAATCAATGTATATATTCTGAAATGGCCTGAGTGTTACCGTTTCCGCACCAATCTCGGGTCTAGGACCGCAAATCGTTGGTATGGCTTCTTTACAAGCCGGCCAGTGAAATCTTTGACGCTGCCAGATCAAGGTTTTCGCCATTTCACCATGAGCTCTGTTTTTCGGGCAATTCGCTTGCTCTATATGGGTGCCTGTGAGGCTATCCGGTATCCACAGTTTCCAGGAATACTCCAACAGTTCTGGTTTGCCGTCGTCTCGCTGGACCGCCAAAACAAGTAAATCCCGTCCACAACGAGATCTGAGAGCCGTTCCCCATGGGCTAATACTTCCTCCCTAAGCTCAGAGTATTCTGGTGACTCGAATTTCGTCGTCTCAAACCCCAACAAAGGTTCCAAGTCGATTGACAGAGTGCCAGCCACTGCATTTTCCGATCCCTTTTTGTGTTCTATAGCAAAGTCATAAATCTGCAGCTTCAATGACCAACAAGCGAGCCGCCCATTTAAGTCCTTTAGGGACATAAGCCACTTCAGGCTGGCGTGGTCGGTTATAATTGTAAAGGGCATCACCTCCACATGCGATCTAAATCGCTTTACTCCAAGAATAGCTGCCAGTCATTAATTGAATTTATTTATTTATATCCTAACGCTACAAGTAAAGACTTATATTTATTGCGTTAGTCACATCGGCTTGAGTAAAGAATTTTTAATTAAAATAAATAAATTAAATGTACTACTTTAAAATTAACAAAGTTGTGTTTACAATTTGAGTATAAGTTTAAGTATAAGTTTAAGTTTGCATAAATTCTTTGATTTTAGAGATAAACTGAGACGCGCTTCTGATGGTTTTAAGAGAATGCGGTAGATTGTTCCATAGGCGAATAGCATAAGCTTTATATCTGGGGATAATAAAGTTTTGTGTTCTTTGCGATTAAGCTGGAAGAAGTTTTTGAAACAAGTATAATGGATCACGGATACCTGTTAAATGCCGCCTCAAGAGCAGGACTGCATAGTCCGAAAAATTGAAGAGCTTTTTTAGCTTGATGCTTAGAATACGGTGTCGAAAGCCTTGCTGTGATCAAGTAGATTCAAAAACGTTATCCAATTTTTATCTAGCCTTGATCGAATGTCCTGAACTACATCAGTATTGGTACTAATACAACTCCTATTTTTTCTCCTATTCCTCCTATTTTGTCGGTATAGGGACAATTTTCGCGTGCTTCTATGCGGAGGGAATAGTGGATGTGGTAATTGCTGTATTTATAATGTCTGTAATATGGGTAAGGAGTAAAGGTAACAACAATTTAAGAAATTTTGGGCTGATGCCATCCAGGCCTTCAGCGTTTGCCTTCACCTTAAGTCAACAACCAAGAACATCACATTGTCTAACACACATAAAAGTAAATCTATTATCATATTCTGGTAAGGCGTTGAGTTACTTGTTACATGTAGCTTCAGGTACATCGAATTGCACAGACTTCCTGTTCAGATCGTTGACGTCCACTTGGTGTGGGGCCAGCTGTTTGATTTTACCAATTCCATGTTTTTTAAAAAAAAAATTTAGCTTTTATATCGCTTCCACTTATTGTAGGATGCGCCACGAATCGCTATATTTGTATACCCTTGCAGAGGGTATATTGATTTCAGTCAGAAGTTTGCAACGCAGTGAAGGGACGTTTCCGACCCCATAAAGTATATATATAAACTTGATTAGACGAGTCGATCTAGCCATGTCCGTCCGTCCGTTTCTACGCAAACTAGTCTCTCAGTTTTAAAGCTATCGGGCTGAAACTTTACCAAAAGACTTATATCTTTTGAAGGTAGTATTTATCTTATAGCTCCCATGGGATTAATCCGGAAAAAAAATTTTAAAAAGTTATATCTTTGGTGTTTTTAACATATAACCTCCTAAGCTTGGAAGTGACATTTTTTAATTAGTTTTGAGTTTCGAATTAAATTTTACCAAAATCGGACGACTATATAATATAGGTGCCATAGGAACGATCGGAATTGGTTGGAAAATAATATGAAACAAATTATAGCTTCGGTGTTTATTAACCTACGCTTGGAAATAAAATTTTTTAATTAGTTATGAATTTCGAATTTTATTTAATCAAAATCGGACGATTATATCATATAGCTGCCATAGGAACGATCGGAAATTGGTGGGAAAATAATATGAAATAAATTATAGCTTCGGTATTTTCTGATATTATCTTATACTATTGGGAATATAATTTTTTGTATTTTTAAATTTAATAATTATAGCTGCAAGGGTATACAAGCTTCGACTTGCCAAAGTTAACTTCCTTTCTTGTTTATTTTAGTGTTATGGGTAAACCAAGGATTTTGTTTTGGATGGATAGTTTTTTCCCTTATTAACACACATGTGCTATAAAGGTAATCAATGTTGCTGTTAAAAATATTCAATTCATGCTCGATGTTGGGAGTCATATATATGGACGTCCAATCACAATTGTTATATTCTACTTCGAGTTCAGTGTAGTTAATATTTATTCAATACCTAAATCCAAAAGTGTCCGAATTATAAGCTGTAATATGTTGTCCAAGACCTTTTCATTGGTATTCTATTTATTCAATGAATTCTAAACTTTTTTACAATTCTTCGTACAGCTAGTGAGAGTGTAGCTGCGCCGGCAGAGCAGTGTTCAATGTTTATGTATAGATGTACAAATGTATTAGTAGCTGCTGGCGAAGAGTCGCCGCGGCAGAGGAGAGGTCTTATGTTCACATGGTGACAGAGCGGTCGCGCATGTCAAATATGCAGACTCAGGACTGCCCAGTCTCAGTGCACTCAACGGCGATCATATTACCGGGCACTTGAAGAACTGTTTGGGACTTGTATTTGTGGCTTACATTTTGTGGCCAAGTGCTACAATGTGTATGTAATAACATTAATACGAAGAACTGAGTACAGTGTACAATGTGAACATACTACATCTCCCTACTTTAGAAAAATAACGTAACTATTTGCAGTTATTTTCTTTGTATATTGATTTGTATATAAAAATATATATATATTAAAATTTATGCATTTTAATGTTCTTTTGTGTAATTATGTTTTTACTTGTAAGAGTAATGAACTGATTATGAAATAAAAGTTCTTAATCTATCTTTATGTACTGTTTGTTTTTTATTTTTATATTTTTAAATTATTATATTTTCGTTATCTTCTGAACATTCTACCGTATATGGTCCAGTATATTTAGAATCTAGCTTATGTCCTATTTCATTTTTCAATAAAACTTTATTTCCTATATATATATCTATGTCATTTGCCGTAAGGTCATAAAATTCTTTGTTTTTCCTCTTATTTTCCTCTATCATCATTCTAGCTCTTTTATGTGCTATTTCTAATCTATATTTACTCTCTAGCATAATCATCTATGTTATATATAGGTTCTATGTTTTTGATGGTATTAAATTGTTTTGGCAAATTCGATGTTTTGCCAAAAACTAACTCATATGGACAGTAATCATGTGCCATTGAGGGTGTAGTGTTGAAGCAGTACACGAAATATTTTAACCGTACGTCCCAATCATTTTTATCAATCGATATGTATGAGCGTATGTATTCGTTAAATGTTCTGTGACTTCTTTCTACTGTTCCAACTGTCTGGTGGTGGTGTGCTGTAGATATTATATTTTTAATTTTTAAACATTTGCACACATCGTTTATGATTGAATTCT